TTAAGAGCGAAATACACCACACAAGCGGTTTGACAAACCAAGCGAAATTTCCCTTTGCTTCAAGCCATTTGTGCTGTGTATGGGGGTGTTTGAAGGTTTGACGGCGGTTTGTCAAACCTTCAAACACCCCCATACACAGCACAAATGGCTTGAAGCAAAGGGAAATTTCGCTTGGTTTGTCAAACCGCTTGTGTGGTGTATTTCGCTCTTAAAGGAACTGTTATTTTGGCCAAATAACGTAACATTACGTACATTTACGTTCTTTGAGCAATACAAGAAATTTCAAAAATCTCCTATTAAGTTTCGTCTAGTATGGCAGCACGCGCAAATGCAACGTGTCAAACTGTTTTGTTGTCAATTCTTGCTTTCCTGCCAATTTTTTTACCGAGTGTCGCAAAATTTCACTTGTTTTACTGGATTTGCACAAAAATTAATAGAATTTTAAACAATTCAATAGCAAGTTAGCATGGCTGCATCTCAACCAGTCCGGACAAATTGGCATCCCAGCAAAAAGCATAGCGATGTGGAACGGTACGCACTGTTTACACGTTCATACCCAAGCACCTGACTAAAAATTGGGTTTTTTTCTCTTCCAGTTGGGTTTGCATTTATCCGGCATATATCAATAGTAAAAAGACACGCCAGGAAGGACGACGCCTGCCANCACTTTATTTCCACACGACTGATCGACTTGTCTGCTTGGAGCAGATTGCACACGGAATGGAAAGAAGCCGAAGCAATATACGGCGAGCAGCTGATTCTCTGACAGCCAGACAATTGTATTCGCGATGTAAACAAAGGCAGTTTGAGAAGCACTGTATGAGGTGTGACACTTACATGAATGGAGTAGAGTTTCCGTTTCAAATAAAAACAATTTCCATGCATTTGTTTTTTTTTTAGGTTTTTATTGTAGCGATTACCACATTTTTCCGATGCGCAATAACATGTGGATGCAAAACAAAATTAAAGCGTAAAGGAACTGTTATTTTGGCCAAAGAACGTAACATTACGTACATTTACGTTCTTTGAGCAATACAAGATATTTCAAAAATCACCTATTAAATTTCCTCTAGTATGGCAGCACGCGCAAATGCAACGTGTCAAACGGTTTTGTTGTTAATTCTTGTTTTGCTGTCAATTTTTTCTCCGAGTATCGCAAAATTTCACTTGTTTTACTGGATTTGCACAAAAGTTAATAGAATTTAAACAATTCAATAGCAAGTTAGCATGGCTGCATCTCAACCAGTCCGTACAAATTGGCATCCCAGCAAAAAGCATAGCGATGTGGAACGGTACGCACTGTATACACGTTCATACCCAAGCACCTGACTAAAAAAATGGGTTTTTCTCTTCCAGTTGGGTTTGCATATATCCGGCATACATCAATAGTAAAAAGACACGCCAGGAAGGACGACGCCTGCCAAAAGATGTATGCGTTGAGAATCCAACCTACGCTGAAATCCGTGATGTCTTATCAGTAACCAACTTGCGCGTTGGTGTGGAAAACAAGCAATATTCGCGCGAATGTAGCAGGGTAAAGAAGTGGAAATGCAAATCATAAGAAACGGCATTCATTTCTTATTTTAATATGCTTTAATTCCTTTTTCTAGGAACTGCACCTACGTGGTCGCATACGCGTGCAAATGCGCAATGATGATGGAACACCCTGCAATCCGGAGCTAAACAGTCGTGAGGACATTATGCGTTATGTCTCAACCAGAATACCACAATTGAAAACGCGTCAAGGCAACGCAGGTAATCAGCAGACACACGTGCAGGCGCAACAGTCCGCTGGTGGCAAGAAGGGAAAAGGCAAGAGGCGTTAAAACGTTCAAAACGTTGGTAGTTTGTTTGAGGAGTACATATTAAATATTTAATACAATATATTGCAAAATGCATATATCGCACACGATCTTCAAAGGTGACAGCTCAAAATTATACGCTCGTCAGAAAATTCGAAAAACAATTTCTTAGCTCATGCTGATCATGTGGGCAAAAAGTCTCCTTTGCCTAAGGTTTTTTCAGCAATTGATAACAAAAATTTGCACCAGCTTTTGCTGAAAGGTAAATAAAAGCTCTGTACATTTGTTGTGCATAATTTCAAAAATGCTAAATTTTGAGTTGTGTCTCCTTTGAAGATCGTGTGCGATATACTGATTATTGGAACTCTGATACATATGCATTTATGTATGTTTACGATTTCTGTTTTAATTGCAATTTTTTTAATGTAAATTTCTTTTTTTATCTATGGAAAATAAGAATAAGCCCTGTATTTGATGATTTATACTGAAGTTTTTTGCAAATGTTTTTGAAACATTATTGCGAGATGCGGTTTATAAAGAAAGTAGAAGTTTGATTTTGTAACAGCACATTGTACCTACATAGCTAAAGATATAGCTTTGGCCGAATATGCATTTGTAAAACTGCCGTTTTCCGGTATCGTAACACTATCCCCCACCAGGGTTTTATACTTTTACTAAAAAGTATGAAACAGTATTCTATGTCAGCTTGAACCGCTATGTTTAGTAATACTTCACATTTATTTTTCTCAAATGCCTTTATGCATTGCACATGCATAACAGTATGTAAAATATGTACATATGTACATACGTGTTTGTACATAATTGCATATTCTTCGGGTATACTTATCCAATTTAATAAGAGATGCGGAAAAATTTTTTCTCAGAAGTAACCTTGTATACATATAATAATTGGGTGGTACAAAAATATAAAATAAAAACAGTGTTTATGTACATACATAAGCGTACATACATATCGTCGTTTAAATTACAAAACCGAGTATCAAGATAAGGCAAAACCGCGTATGTGAGGTCGCACTAATTTTACAGAAGAAAGTAAAAACTGACTTATTTCAATATGGCTCTCCATTTTAATGAAAACCCATTTCAGGCTACTTTCACTATATTCAGTTTTGTACTTTAAACGACGACAATGGCCGCTGTGGTTGAGTTATTAGAGGTGTATACTACAACTTCGGAGGGCCTGGGAGCCCTGGTCCGAGCAACATCTAAATAAGAAAAGAAATTAAACAGGGGGCCCCACAGGGTAGTGTTCTTTCCCCGCTTCTTTTGAACTATTACATCTCGAAGCTTTCCTTCAACCACCAAAGGGAGTCTCTATTGCCTCTTATGCTGACGACTACCCGATACTGGCGTCCAGAAATGGAATTGATGACTTTGGCTATAAATTAAACGGCTACCTCCCGAACTTTCTCGCTTCTTCACTGCAAGGACGAGACGTGCGGCCTTATGCTGAATATCGTCATCGTCAGTAAAAGTGACGATAGGGTCATCGTCAGCCATGATACGCTTACGTTCGTCGACGATGACGATATTCAGCATAGCGCCGATCGCTTCGCCTGTATCGGGCCCTACCATAGCCAAATTTCTCTCTGGATACTGGAGCACGCTAAGCTCGTACCTGAGCAGAATAAACGCAGATTTGCCCTACAAGTGCCCGGCACGCGGAGTCACGTCTTCGCATACCGTCAAAATACCGCTCAACCAACGCCCCGTACTGTCACCAATCCTGTTTAACTGCTATCTCTCCTCCGTCGCCCCAGAATAGCCTCATTCACCGATGATTTATTTCGGCAACCAGCGATCTTTCATGCATTTTTTTGAGCACTCAACTCTCAGACATCTCCCACGACGTCCACTGCAACTTTATTCATAACATGGTCAGAGTAAAAAAAGAACTCGGAGACCGACTTTTGACTAAAACTACAGCGATTAGCAACAAGCTACGAGGTAGGAACAAGGTTGTCATGTCGCTAGACGGTAGCACTTTGGGAAGAATAGATAGACATTAGTAGCCACATAAAAAACCTTCGACTGGTCTTTATAAACCACGGCGCTACCGTATGGACCACACAAACCTGTCAAAACGCCGCTGCCCGAACCGCCATTGGATGCATCCTTACGTCGCCTCAGGACCACCTTCTCCCTAAGGCGAAAAGGCTAGAGGTAAAAAACACATGCGTCTGTAAAAGCCAATGTTTTGTTGGGCTGTCAGAAGCCACACACCCTCAACCATACACAAACTAAAAGGCAGAATTCTACCACAACCATGTTAAAAGGCATCTCATTCAATTGGAAGGGAATACGTGTCCCAGAGCTTTTAATGAAATTGAAGAAATGTACTAAATAATGTACTAACTGATAGTTTCGTGTCATTCCCTTCGAGGTTTGCCATTGCTAGTCGAGGGGCAAAACCCCGAGCCCAAAACTTACCGAGGGGTAGTAAGCAGCTCTAGCACCTCGGCCATGGCTGAAATCTAAACTACAAATACTTCATACTCACCAATCCTTTCGCTGGGCGATCGGTTCTTTCGCCAGTACAAAATCCATGGGGTTAATAGAATCCAGCCGGTATCGTTACAACAGGGAAGAATGTTTCTATTGCTCAATCTTATGGTCATCGTATGTAGTTCAAAATGGGCTACACCTAGCGTTTAAATTATGGGATTTCAACACGGGAATACTAAGATAGATGTACATCATGATAGTAAAAGCTATGGTAAAATATGGAGCGGTAGTGGAAGAACTGCCCTAGACCCGGTGACACAGTTAAGGGAGAAATGCGCACATGTCCGACTTTTGCGTTGAAGATAATTCAATAGCTGAAGCCTTAACAAAGCAGGTGTCAAAACGTCCTCTACTTAATTTCGACAAAGAAAGTTTTGAGTGAAGTAAGGTCATATTAGCTAGGAGCGTGGAGAAGTCAAGCTCTCACCTAACCCCAGCCCTATTTCCCAAAGATGTTATACCGCGGACAACTTTGCTCGAGAGAAATTCAATATAGAAATATGTAGGAAAGCAGCTCGAAGAGCCTCTGGAAACAAGAGAGAACAAAACAGACGCCACTCAAGGCTTATAGAAATTTAATTTTTTAATCAATATTCCTTTGATTTATTTTAGTTTTTGGAAATTTATTTTCTTTTTTTACCGACTTCAAAAAAAGGAGGAGGTTATCAGTTCGTCGGAATATTTTTTTATTTTTTTATGTATGTTCGATAATTCTTTTTTCATCGGAAAGGTGGTACCACAAGGGTGGTCCCATACTAATTTGGTTAAGATCCGATAATTGGATCGTGAAGAAATTAACGATAATCTTAAATTTTTACATGAGAATTGAAGTCGGTTTTGTTTTTTGTTTAAAAATTACTTGTTATCTTTTTAGGAATTATTTTTTTAGTTATTGGGTTGACTCGATTAATCTTTGGATGTTCTATGTTATACCAAAACCTAGAATACCATGCCCACATGGAAACCGCATATCGTCGTTCTGCAAAACCGTTTGCTTACAAGCTCTTGGCTCATTCCTTAACCATTTGTATAAATGTAGAGTTGAGTCTCGTAAAAAAATTTCAATTTTTACACATTGATGCTTCTGGCATACGGGCGACGATATTTTTTTTCTTTTTTTAATAAAATTTTTTTCTTAATTGGCTTTTAATTTTCAGATTTTTTGTTTTAAAGTTAAAACAACTTTTTTTTAAATTTAATTCAATTTCTAAAATTATTTTATTAATTTCTCCTCTTACTTTTCTTTTGTAATTTAAATTTCTTTAAATTTTTAGTTTTTATTTTTTTTAGATAAATTTTTATTTTTTATTTTCTTTCAATTATTAGAAACTAATTTTATATTATATTATTATTATATATTATTTTTTCTAATTTAATTTTCTTTCAGTTTTTAAATTTTATTGCAGTTCTCAAGAAAAATTGCAAGAAATATTTTTGATTACTTCTGTTGCTTGACAATGTACTTTGCTGTTGCCGTAAACTTTCTTGAATAAATAAATATGCGAGCATTTTTTCTTGAGAGCTGCAGACGGATTTAATACATTTTGATAGAGGAAAATTTCTTTTCCATTTCTTGTGCGCCATTTTTTATGAATTTTTTTTTCTTCAGAGCTGCAGACAACCTTTTAAAAAGAAATAATTCTTTAAATTTAGTTTAATTTTTAGGAACCTTATTTATATTTTAACCCCATTTTAATTTAATTTTTTTCTATTTTTAACTTAAATTTCATGTTTTATCGTTTAAAAAAGCAAAATATTTTTATTTTATTGTAATTCTTTAGAAAATTGTTTCATTATAACCTTCCTTCACTAATTAAATTTTTATATAGTATATATTTTTCGTTTTTTAATTTGATTTTCTTAAAATTTTTAGATTTCATTGTTTTAAATATTGAATACTTTTTGAATTGCATTTAGTTTTAACTCTAAGTTTATTTTTTCGTTTTTTAATTTACTTTATTTTTCCCGTGCTAATTTAGTTTTCTTTTAATTTTTTAACTTTATAAATTAAAAAAAAAAAAAAACATCTTTTAAATTAAATTTTTAGGAAACTTAAATATATTTATATTTTATTTAATATTTTCTTTTTTTTCGGTAATTTTCTGTTAATTTTGAGATTTCATTGTTTAAAATAGAAAATTAAAAAGTTTTTATTTTTTTTCTTTTTTTAATTTATTATTTTTTTAATTTTAGTTTTTATTGTTTAAAAAAAATATATATATTTTTTTATTTAATCTTTAGAAAACTTATAGCTTAAAGACAACAGAATACCTCCACTACTTTTAAGGAGAACAGTGTTAAAATCAAAATTAATAATACACCAGCATTCATATCGACTTGAGCTACTTTAGCATATCGCCAAAGCTATGTATTTAGTGACCACAACTGTTTGAAATTGCTAACGTCGGCAGATTCTCCGACACTTCAATGAGCCAAGCCAAAACAATATTCAAAGCAGAATACTCAATTCGGTGCAAAATAGCATTGAGAAGACAGTGAGAAAATGAAAAACAAAATAAAAAATAAAAAAACAAATAATAATATTAAAATGAAAATTACGAAATGTACATATAAACATTGAGAACACATATCGCTCGAAATACATACTACTCGTAGCAGAAACATGCAATCGACCACAACACCAATTGTGAGTGCATTATAAAATCAATTAATCGCATTAAATCAGCATTGAGTTGACAAAAAACCGTCAAGCGCGTCGCCAGTAAATCGGGTAGATAAAACGAAAAAAAAAATCCATAAAAGAGCATACTCGTATAACGGATCGTAGTTTAGAATGCCACCATCCGCACACATATCCAACACCCACTTCTGGTTGTACACCGTGGGCCTGCTGCTGGTTTGGATTATCGTCATAACGACAGCAACGCCGCTCGACCAGAAAAAGTCGCTAGCCAAGGCCAGAGTTTGGGGCAAAAATGAAGCACAGGAGCAGCGTTTGGAGAAGAGTTGTCAATCGCTTTGCGAACAATGCGGCTGCATGGGTTTCTATTGCGGCGAGGAATGCCTCTGTGAGTTCGATAAGCACAGCGCTTTTCATCGAGGTGGCCAAAAGCGTAACAGCACCAAAACACAACCGCCGCTCACAAATGCCGAATGCATTGCTTCAATGCAGCAAGATGCACAAGTGCAAGCGCTACCATTCGAAGTGCTCATACAAGGATCGAGCGGCGAACGCTTCATGCGCACAGCTATGCAATTCGATGTGGACCAAACGCGCGCGGCGGCCGCTCTAACAGCCATGCCTAGAAAACGTGCAACTATTTCCATTTACCGCCCATACACGCCCACGCAAAGCAACATGCTACTGCAGGCGAACGAAAGCAAGAAAGCACTCAAATCAGCTGCGGTTCGTCCACGCCGCTCAACAGAGCATCTGGATTGGTTTAGTGACTTTGCGACTACTTTAGTGCGTCCAGCGCCGCTGCGCAAAAGTGAGGCGAGCAGCGCCAGCGCCAACGCCAGCGGTGGCAACAAGAAACGCGAGACGCAACGCAATGAAGATGACAGTACGCGCGAGAAACCCGAATCGTGGTTTAGTGATCATCCCAATCGTTTGCTACGTCCAGCACCGCTCTTTCGGCGTCATCAGAAATCACAAAAACCGGCTATGGAAGTTGAAGAAAATGAGACTTCCGATTCGCAAGACGCTTCAATGGCACCCGTTGGAGAGGTAATCAAGAATACCATACGAAATATACAAGAATCGGATATAGGTGAAGGTCTACGTTCTGGCATCCGCGATGGCACCGAACTCTGGCAGAATACGTTTCAAGGCAGCAATTTAGAATTATTTCCAAAACGTTTCCGCAATGACTTCACCGAAGTATTCGATACGTGGCTAAAGAATCAACAAGCCACCGAGGCCAGCATAGAAGTGCCAGACGTGCCAACGCGTGCAACGCAACCCGTACTCTTGCCTTGGTTCCGACCTGTGCGTTTCTTGCAACGCGTGCATCAAGCGTTGAACTGAGGGGACGGGTTTAGGAAGTACCGGTTAAGTACCAATACATAACTGCATAGTTTAATTATAAATACATAAGTTTAGTATCTTAACTTTATTTATAGAAAATTTGCAGATATGTATGTATGGGTTTGTTTATTTTTTTCCTACGTTTATCTATGTACATATATTTCATATAAAATAGTTACTTTTTTAATAAAACACTACCTCATAAATAAAATCTGGTGAAAGTTTGTTTGTTTGAATTGTGTGTAAAACATTTAAGTCTATGAAACAGTATTTTCTTCTTATTTGGCGCTGTAACCGCCCGAGCGACAGCATTTTAGGTTCTCTGAATACATATGTACTCGTATAGGGTTTTCCCAGTTACAATTTGGCCCACACTGATATCACTTTTTTGTTGTTCTTGTAGCGCCACTACTAAGCCCCGCCTATTTTGGTTTGTCCATCAATCGTTGTCGTGAAGCTCAACTAACGGCAGACCCAAGATGGGCAGTTGCGACAGGTAGCCGCTGAGATGACTACAATATTCAAACTGTAACTGGGCTAGTGTAACTCGGGTCCATCTTGGCAGTTGAAACCTCGTATCCGCTACAGTTGGTGATTGAGCTCCGATCACGGCATTAATAGGCCGGCAGTCGTGGTAGGTGGTGACCGACTCCCTATGAATGCTGCTGATCAGTCGTCGGTACGTCGTCGAGTCCAGTGGTTGGTCTTTGTATGCCTGGGCTGCGTATATGTATACGAAGAGGTTCCCTCTGACGTGCCTGGGCGGAGGCCCCACCTGACAAAGGGTCTGTTGGGGTGTTCGCATTTGTGGCATCCCAGCAGAAACTGCTTGCTGTGCATTTTGTTATGTTCACTTATAGGAAGGGTTTAGCTATAGCTGTGCAGGCGGTGCTCAGGCGACATCAGAAGATACCCTGTCGCTCTCCGAAGTATTGCGTTTTGATAAGTGTGTAGCTTGGTCCACTGAGTCCAACTAGTCCTCGACGACCAAACAGGTGCAGCATAGTTCAGAACCGGCCGGCCAATCGCCTTGTATGTTGCCAGCTACGTTTTTCGTCTTTGCTCTAAGTGCTGCCGGCGAGCGACTTGAGCACCCAATTCTCCATCTCCTTAGCTAAGTTGCACCAATTACATATTATTAGATAGACAGTTCCTTCTGCACTTGGTTCTTTCATTGTGTGGGTGTCTTTGCTTTCCTTGTTCACTCATAGCTGCTGAGTCGAAGTGCATTTTCATCGGAATATCGCCACTCATGCGTACGACATGTCCAAACCATCGCAATTATCCGTCATTTCACCTACTTTGGTAACCGTCGCCAACGTGAACGGACCGGTAGATCTCAAAAACTAGTTTTCTCGGCATCATTTACGCTTTTGTGCTATAAAATAGGGTGACAGGTAATAAGATCAACGGAGATAAGGTCAATTGACTTTATTTCCGTTGATCTTGTTACCTGTCACCATAAAATAGTTCTATTCCAATCCAGCTTGCAAATTCTTACTGCAAAAATTTTCCCTGCACTAATTTGCAACTTCCGTCCAAATGCAATGTCAAAATTGTACTCTCTCCTTGCAAAGTTTTACTGGGTTTTTGGCCAAACGAACACGATTTGGTAACAATGGGTACCAACTTGTACAAGTTTTTTGCATAGCGAGGCCCAAATCCTCCCAGTTAAGGATCATAACATAATTCCTGTTGGGTGCTACCTGCAGCTACTTCCCTGAAGCCGCTCTTCTTCCCATGCATACCAGAAGCTATGTATCTAGCGAACCTCAGGGACCAGGTTCAGCTATACGTATGTTATACCCCGACCAGAGGGACTAGAGGAAAGTCAATTAAGTCTCCGAATCTCGCCGAGAGATCCGCGATATCTTGACACAATTTTGTTCATATCTATCCTGCATAGTTGTCCGATCACATTGTGCCCTTAAAGGCGTCACATTTTTTCCCTGCAGCAACGGGAAATTCATCGTCTATGTAACATTTTTTTTCGCATTCACTGAAATCCAATTACTTCTTTAACGCATATCACTGCTTGGGCACATTGTGTGGTTCCACTGCTCGCTTATGTCGGTTTTTTTAAGAGTGTTTCCGAGCGAATATTTAGCTGGGAAAGTCGATTACCGAAGATGCTGATAGTCCGGTTCACTTGATTAGAGGCAATAATTTTTATGGAAGAAAATGGTTATTAAAGCCACCGAATTTGATCAAGTAACAAAATGTTTTCTGATAATTCAAGTTAAGACTGTACTTTGCTCGAAAATAAACATGCATCAAAATATTATTCCATCTATCGGTATTTCACAGCAGTAAAACTTCAGCAGCTGTAATATTGTGCTTGATTTATTGGTTCACTTGAATAGAGGCGCCCAGTTTGCCTACATTATTTGCGCAATAAAGGTGTGAAACGGGATCGTTTTTTTTTAAGTATTCATTGTGTTTGGTCGAAAACTTCTCAATTCTAATAAAATGGGAAAGCAGAAAGGTTTAACTGATCGCGAAAAAGGACAAATCGATATCTTGACCTCAGAGGGACTTTCGAATCGCCAAATTGCCAAAAAAATTGGTCGAAGTCCAAATGTTGTGGATCATTACATGAAACAAGGTACCTCCTATGGTAAGAACTACAAAGGCAGAACTGCGATGGCTTTGACACCGAAGGAAACTCGCAAAATCCTTAGGATTGCATCGAATTCCGCCCTTTCAACAGCAAAAATTAAAAAAATGGCAAATGTTGCAGCCAGCAAATCCACCGTTCGAAGGGCTATTCTAAAAGCGCCACATCTGAAGCA